GCATTAATTGGTTTTAGGGAAAGGATGACCCAAACTTTGGCATCGTCATTATTTTTAGTGGCAAGTATATGTGGCTCTAATACAAACACAGTTTTTTGATTATGCAAATAAGAAGTCTATCTGAGTAATGGGAGGCCATCTAAGACATTCTCGATCTGATTCCTAAAGGAACTGTACTTTGTTATAAATAGCATCATTCAGTAATCACTACTGGAGGCTTCCCGAATTAAAGCACCTTCGTCGGTTTCGAGCACATTGAATATGTACAGAGCTATTGCGGGCTTAATGTGAACTTATTGCAACCCCGCGTCTTTTAGTGCCAGAAATAAAGCTGTAAGTGGAGTAACTTAATACAGTGAACTGCTTTATTCTGTTACTGCACTAATGCTAATTAGATACACTTGCTTTATTACCCAGAGCGCTTTTGCTGTATTCATTCTGATCCAATCTCTCTACGAACACGAAGGAGTAAGTCATAAGTGTTAAGTTGAAGCTTTTAGTCGCAATTGCAGCCTGATGCTCATGTGGCTAAAGTCAGAGAACACTTTTAGAGAACGCTTTGTCCACTTAGAGTACAATTAGAGCCCTGTCGGACTTCTAACACAGAGGGTGCCCACACTGCCAACAATTACACTTCGGAAATGAGTGAGACACTTATCGATACATTTAATGCAATTTTTTTCTTGACCTCTTCAAGATACCCAGCTTTATGGGGAATAAATAAGTGTGTGAGGATTCTTTTCTCCCTTCCTTTAATCAGAGCAGAGAATTTGCTGATGGCTTTGAAAGATATATTTACCCAAATCAGACTTTCAACTGCGCAATCACCAGCTTTTGCAAAAACACATAATGAGAAATTTATTGTCTGATTCTAGACCTGAAATTATGATTATTTTAGGGGAAAAAGCCAATAGTTCCAGCCTATTGGACGCCTTTTTTCTTTCACTTAGTTTAGAGATTTTCTACTTTTAAAGTAGACACTCTGCCTTGATTAGTGTTGTAGGGATTTTTATTGGGCTGTAGATGAGCATTTGATTTTTTCCATTTACATAAAGTCATCAAGAAATGTAAAGTGGAGTGTGGCCAGTGGCATGGTGCAAATTATGGGATTTTAATAAACGTTTCATATGAAAAAGAGAATAAAGTTTATGTATTTAGTAAGAACCTTGCGTATAAATACAGGTTAGAACCTTTTTTTTCTGTTTTTTTTTGTTTTAAAATCCTATAGTCCATTAAAAAATCAACAAAAACACCATGTTTAGAAGAATACAGTCTAAAAGACTCTATATTTAATATTTGGGTTATATGGACTTTTTCTGTATAGACTTTTTCTAACATCAGAATGCAATCAGCTACATCCTCCATAGAAATGTTCACTATCGTGTTATTGCGAAACTGGCAGTTTGAAAATTATAGACCTTGTTTGTTTAAACAGTCAGAGAGCATAAAGACAGTGAAAAACACATAACCCAGGTGTCTTTCTGCAAAAGCACTGGGAATAAATGACCAGTTGGGTCATTCCGACACAGAACTTGAACTTGTGAGTGGAGCTTTGTCTCTAAGAGAGAAGGAAAGGCACCCAGTTTGATGCACCCCCACCCTGCACCCCCATGAACTGACCAGGTCATTCTGTATCCTGGAGAATGGTCCAAGACGATGCCAAATAAACACCCAAAATGCTATATTTCTATGCACCCGGATCCCAAGAAAACAGACAGTTTGATAACTATATATCATGGCAACCAGAACATGACTTGGAGGGGCAGGTTGAAATATGACAGCTTTTGCTGGAGGAAGGAGGGAGAAGTGAGGGTTAAGATGGCAACAGGCATTTCAGTTCTGGGCTTGTTCCGAGCTGAGGTTTGCCAAAACCTTTCTTCCATGACTGGTGTTTACATATTCCTTACCTCTTTCTAGCTGGAGGCTGGACCTTTCATACTTTTCCTGTGTGAGTTCACCCGTTTTACATTATACACCTTTATTAGTTTTCTATTTCTACGGTAACAAATTGCCACACAAGTTGAGTGGCTGAAGACTACACCAATTTATTATCTCACCGTTGCGGAGGTCAGGAGTCTACCAGCGGTCTCCCTGGACTAACACCCAGGGGTCAGAAGGGCTGTGTTTCATTGGATGGTTCCCAGGAACCTGTTTCCTCCCCCTTGGCAGCTGCGAGAGGCTGCCCGCATTCCTTGGCTCCTGGCCCTTTCATCCATCTTTGGGTCCAGCAAGGGCCTGTGGCTGAGTCCTCACCCTGGCCTTCCTTCTGCCCTCACAGCTTTTCCTGATTTTCTTTTTCTGCCTCTGTCTTTCGTTCTTAAGGACACTTGTGATTGCATTGGCGTTAACCAGATAACCTATGATAATCAGACTCTTAGCAACCTTAGCTCCACCTGTAAACTCAATTCTCCTTTGCAATGTGACATAAAAATCTATGGCGTGTCCCCTACACAACTCCCCACAGTTAATCAAAATCCAACATGTTTAAAGAACCAAGAAAAAGCCATATTTCCTGTAAAACAGCCCTTAGCCTTCCAGACAAAAGTCATCTTGCTCTTTCTTCTGGGTGATTGCAGTTTCTTTTTTCTTTACCTCACGCCCATAATGAAGGGCACTTAGCTACCAGAATTGTCTAGCCAAATATTTGATCCTATTGTTTCTCTGTTTAAAAAATCCCTACATGACTTTCCATTTAGTTTACAATCACACCTTCGACTGACCACCCTGACATACAGGTCTCTCTAGTCACTGACCCCCACACCGCTCTGCAACCTCCTCTCCAGCCCTGCCCCTGTAGGATCTAGCCCCACTCAATATTTTACTCTCTCCAGGTATGTGAAGCCTTTTAAATTTTTTTTTCACTGTCACATACAGTTATACTTCCTTTCTCCTACTAAATGGTTAATCTACTCTGAGTGCTGCCCCTCTCCAGCATCAGGGCAACCAAAATAATAAGTGAGCAACTGTCTCCTCATTGAACTAATGGATGGTCTGAATGCTTTTCTACAGAAATAACTGGTGAAGGAGAGACCAAACCAGCCTTATCTTCCAAGTGGTTTTCCTCATGCTTAGATCACTGTCCACTGGATTGGGACACAGTCAATCCCTGTGTCTGCCTGTCGTACGTCAGTGTTTCTCTTCCTCTTTTTCTCTCTCCCTTCCTCTCTCTCTGAAAACAAATATTTTTTAAAAAAACCCATGATGACGACGCTGACTCCTCACTTCCTGTACTTCTTTTCATTTGACCTGCTTGACCCCTGTGGGCATTTGGATTGGTCACCTTTGGCAGTGGCTTGCATTCTGAAACGGATGTAAAATTAGCAGTGATTCACAGGTCAACAAATGTGATAAAAGAAAAGAAATCGTATCCTATTCTCAGATTGGTTGAGGAAACAATATATCAAGTGATAGGACTTGACGGTTTTTTGTTTGTTTTGTTTTTGGTTTTGTTTTTTTTTTTTTTGTTTTGTTTTTAATTGGGCTTTAGAGAGTTACTCAGATCTCAAGGTGTCTAGGGAAATTGCCGTGCCATTGAACTTGGTGTCTTATTATACTTTCTTACTAGTAAGAAGGGATGTGTGTATTCAGAATGGGCAGTAGGAGCATTTTAATTAAATTCAGGAATCAGATAACGATATCCCTCTCAAAAGTTTTATTTAACATTGCTTTGTTAGTAGAAATAAAATTAAGAATGAAAAAAGCAAGTTGCAGATATTAGAAAAGAGGAAACAGAAGCAGATTATGTGACTCTCACGACTCTCAGAAATCCCAAAAGAATGAAATGAACGGTTACTTGAAACAATAAGAAAATTCAGTAAAGATACTAAAGAAAAAGTATATAAATGGTTAGCTTTAATAGGCCAGCAATTACCCGTGTGAAAAAATGTAGTGAAATAAATTATTAAATTTACAGTAGAAACCCAAAATAAACAATAAATATGAAAGAGCTACAATTTTTTTTTTAAATGGTAGAAAAAGTTTTAGTAATAGGTAAAACAATGCTGCTTTTGGAAAGAAAGCATCAAATGTAAGAGGCAGTAATTTCCCTCTTCTAAGTTTGCAAGTTATAAGTGACTTTAGCACTTTATTATGAACTGACCTCTGATAACCACATGTCATCTAATTTCATCTTCTGGACTACCTGGTGATTTGGAAAATAAAGCGAGGATTAAGTCTTGAAAGAATTCTCCCAAGATTTCACTCCTGCCTCATGAGATAATTACCGTGTGTTCTTTTCTTAGCTCTCCCACTAAGTAGTATATTCCTTGGAGGTGAGGCCCTGTCTCATTTGCATTCACGTCTCCTGTGACCATGGAGGCAACGAACACTTTGGTCCAAACCCAAGCTCTTGCTTGCCCTTTTCATGGTAGAGGCCACAAATTCAGAGGCTGGCAGAGATTGGGCCGGCACAGAGCCTGTTATCTCTAGTGCAGACAGTTCTAGCCCATCATTTTCTTGGGGCCATCCAGCCTCAAAATGCGGAAAATTTTAAGAATTTTAGAGACTTTGGAAATCCTAATTTTTTGTCTGAAGCATTTGGATTGTTAAATATTGGCAGCCAATGTAAAAAGGTATCCTTTTCTTCCGTTGAAGTAAATCTTACTGTTGGCAAAATTTGGTCTGTGGCCTGCCTCTTTGAGATCCTGGAGTTTTGCACATGACTTGACATTTCTTCTGGTGCCATGAACTTAGGAGCAAGAAAGTGAATAGGGCGGGTAGAGGAATGAGGTTTCTACGTATGGGGCTCCCCTATCTGTCTACGCCGGAGTGTAAGCGGCCAATTCCTTTCTTCCTCGTTCTACCAGTTCCAAAGCTGGGTTCATCATTGCGTGTGTGTGTGTGTGTGTGTGTGTGTGTGTGTGTGTGTGTGTGTAACTGTTTCTAGGAGACACTAGAGAGAGAGAGTCCTGGGTTTAATTTCCTGAACTCAGTGAGTAGGAATTTAAGATTGCTGCCATACTGTCTCCTCAAGCAGTGATTTGGTTTTGTTTTCCAATCAGGTGTTTTTGGTCACTGTGTGGAACTTTGAACTCTACATGATCCCGCTGGCGTTACTCCTGCTCTTTGTCTATAATTTCATCAAACCCATGAAAGGGAAGGTCGGCAGCATCCAGGACAGCCAGGTGAGCAAAGATGCTAATAATTTGCATGTTTAATTAGAAAAAAAATGTTAACAGTGGTAAACTACCTCCAAGTCTTTTGGTTTGAGACTCAAGGAGCTACCTCGCACATTTGTCCATGTTATAGTAGCGATCTTATATCAGGTGTTACCTGGGGTCTTCCTTCTCTAGCATCTTGTGTTTTTGAGCCTTGGCCTATTTCCTTAGGATGAGGAGAGCCCCTCACACTCTTGGTAGTCTCTTCCTGCCGGCACCACATGTCCATGTGCACGCTCAGGAAGGTTACGGTGAGGAGCATTCTCACCCACTGAAGAAAAGCCTTTGGTGGCTCTCTGAGCCCCTTCAGGGGACCCAGAGCATCTGGGAGGCTGCCCCAGGCCTCTCCACCCAGGCACCCTGTGCAGTGTTCTCCTCTGGCCTGAAGGCTCAGGGCATTCTGGGAGGCTTGCCAACTCCCAGGGAAGCTGGAGGAGGGGTGGGTGTGCCCAAGTGTTTGTTGTCATTCTCAGACTTCCCATGGTGTTGAAGGAAGGTTCAGCAAGGCCTCTTGTCCAAGACAGCCTGCCTCCCCTTACTTTCCTTCTTGTCTACGTCTTCTCCCCCAGACCTCTTATCCCAGCTCAGAGATCTTTTCCAGCCCCAGTGGGCAGGAACTCATTTATAGGCTTGCTTTATGGTCTAATCTTGGCATTCCAGATTTAAGACCGCAGTTTTTTAAACAAAAATCTAAGATTTTGAGACTTGATAGCAGATAAGTTTCACATTGGGTTTTTCCAGACTCAAAACATGACTATCTTCACATATTTTCCCATATAATGTTTTGATTATTAAAAAAAATCATCTCTGAAATTATGGGCATTAAAGAAATACTTCTGGTATGCTTTGGGATATAGGGGAAGGAGAGAAATGAGTGTTTTGGCTGGGAGTAAAAGCTCAAGCAAATTCAAAATTCTCTTCTGTTTGATTTTGGATTGTTTAATGGAGTAGGCATGGGCATAATCAATAATAAAGGAAATTAAAGATGTTAGAACCATCCAATAAATAAATGGCTTTAAATGACAGGTTCTTTTAAGAACTAAGTTTCACAGAGACACAGATGAGGGAAATTTTTACTGAGAAGTATCTGTAATAAAAATGTTGTCAACTAACATTTTTACAACTTTCAATCAGATTTTTTTGTAGCTTTGTATATGATGTGTATGTTGATAGTATGTGTATATGTGCATATATGTATATGTATTTATGTATGTATTTGTACATAGTATGTATAAACATATACGTGGGTGTATAAATATAATGTATATGCATGTATGTGTGTATAACAACTATACGTTGTAAAACATTTTCAAATTCATTACCTAATTGAATCTTGATAACCCAACCATGACAAAGGCAAGAATTACTATTTTCATTTTGTACTTCATGAAACTAAGGCCCAGAGTGCCAAAGTCATTTGCCCAAAGCCACACAGCAAAAAGTGCTGGAACAGTGTCTCAAGCTCAAGACTGCCTCAAGCCGAAGATTTCTAAGTCCTCGTTACAATGTTTTTTCTCCCATAAAATCTTTTCATTATCCTTGCTGGGATGCATTTGCGGTTGTGAACACTGCTTGCTCCAACGGTGAACAGGTTAATTGTCCAGCATCAGTGAGTGGCACAGAACCTGCCAGTTCAAGTTCATGGGGAGGATGACTCCCCAGTGGTTTTAATGGCGTAGAGCAGAGTACTCTTGGGACACTTCAGAGTTACTCTCTCTTAAGAGCATAATATTGACAAATATTTTTTCACGGGAACAATGACATCGACACTGCACGCCTGACCTTTGCCAGGTGAAACGGGAAGGTGAGTGTTCAAGCTGAAAGCAGGCCCCGAGTTTCTAATCCCCAGCATTCTTTGAGAGCTACCAAACTCATCTGAGTGTGAACCAGCACGCGTTAGCAATCATGCTGCAGTGATATGATTGAAATTTACTTACTAGATAGACATGATTTTAAAATGAATCTGAACCAACCTATTTGCATCACAGCTGGTGCTGTGACCCCTGACCTTAAGCCAGGTGCCCTTTGGTCCTGATCAGGCCCTAGTTTCCTTCCTTCACCTGCTCCCCCCTCCCAAACCCAGAGCCCAAGGAAAACAATAATACCATATAGAAACCTGTGACTTCTTCTTGAGATTGATTATATTCAGACTAATGCATTTTCTACTGTCTAATGTTTCAGTAATGGCCCCAAAGGAAAAGAGAAATCATTATAACAATGAGCCTAGCACAAACGGAGTATGGTATTCTCAGCCTTAACGTAGCAGTCGGTTCATTTGTCAGAATAAGAACAAAACTGTTTACAGAAAGTACAAGTCGGCAATGCATTTTTAAAGCAGGATGCCTTCAAAGGGCACTTGCCTTAATAGCTTTATTAATAGTTAAGTTTTATAAAGATTATGCATATTTTTTATACTTTTGCCACAGTGTCCCTGAACTTTAAGGGTGTTATTTTTAAGAGAACTTAAAAATATTGTATTTTAAAAATACTAGCACTGAAATTAGGTAGAAAAAAATATTTTAGTGTGAATGAGTTTCGTTTGCATTTGGGAATTTCAGTGGATGTTTTATTCAGAAATTATGGGTCTTCCTTTCAGGAGAGCACAGATGTGGATGACGAGGAGGATGAAGATGACAAGGTGAGTGTGCCCAGGAAATCAACGCAAAAGGCGGGGACATTCGTGTTTTTAGCCGACATCTTTGGGCCGACTTGTTCTTGAAGTTCCAGGTGGAGTCAAATGCTATTTTTTTTTTTTTTGGTACTATAGAGTGACCAGTATATTCATATTTTTGTAATTTATAAAGCTATCCCTTCTTAAGATATATTTGTATTTATTTTTGTCATTCATTTTGTTTAAAACATGAAGATGAAAAGGGGCAAAATGTAAGGTATGACGGAAAGAGTATGAAAAGCACCTCCGTAGGAGGCCTGTCATTGGCGGCAAGCGCCGACGCGCCTTCTCCTCCGTGTGCGGCAGGGACAGGGAGACGAAGGTAGCCTAGGAGGTCACAAGGAGATCCAGCCACCCTCCTCTAGGTGCACGTCTGCGCTCGGCGGGGTGGCCACCCACTTGAGAGCCTGTCACTTCCCCAGCTGTTGCTGGCAACATTTGCAGCTATATGTCTGTGTACATCTGTCCGTTCCCTCCTCTTGGGAGCATCTCTCAAATCTGCTGCTTTTGTTGTCATTATGCTTTCAGACAAACCTTCTGGAATAAAATGAAAAAAGGGAAATGCCAAATGCGACGTCACTAGCTTAATGGACTTCCAGTCCCCTAGAAGCCGTGGGTACACGGAGCATGTGGTAGCAGTATACGGGGTGCTTGAGGGGAAGGAAGGAGGCAAAGGGGGATCTTAAGAGTTAGTATCCAATATCAAATGCCCAGGAAATAGAAATGGATTTAAAAACATCGGCTCCACGACACAAAGAGCCTTAAAATTAATGAAGAGAGCCAGATGGTTTTGCCCATTTGTAGCAAATTGAGGGGATTGCAAAGTAACTCTTATTTGTTGTGATAAAACGATCATTCATGGCAAAATAATAAAGTGGTAGAATTTTTTTTTTTAAGTGAATCGCCCCTCTTCAGAATAAAGGTCCCACAGACTCACCTTTCTCCTTGATGAACTGATGTGCGTGGCTTCTGAGTGATGTCACCCCTTGGACGCTGGAAGTCGTTATAGACAAGCTACAGTGCATGATGAGGGATGTTTTGCCAACGACAACACAGTCTTGATGAAATAACTTTATACCCATACTAGGAAAAATTATAAGTTTTATTAACCCAGGCTTAGAAGGGAGGAAAATTTCTTTCTGTTTGGCCAACCCTTTGGAAATGAGCCACCTGTGGTCTGATAATCCACTGCCCTTTAGAGATCACTGTGACATGGAACTTTGGCCCATCTGATAAAGGGGAGCATCTCACAAGAAGGCAATGAATGAAAAGTGGTGCCGAGTACACTGGCAGCCGGCAAACTCGGGTCCTGGACTCCAGGTCACTGGCTGTCAAGGTCTAGCGTACACTGAGGCGTCTTGGGAGGTTTCACGCCTTCTGCGGCGAGGATGCATGAGTGGGAACCCCCGCGCCTCCTTGGATGAGCCTTGGAGCTATTGCTCCCATCCACGCCCGGCCCTCCACAACGGGGCCTCTCCCCATTTCCTGAGGGCAGTTGTGTTCTTGAGGTACTTTGATTGTAGTATTTTCCTAAGGCCTTTAATAGCTGCAGGATGACCGTGTTTGTTTTGCTTCCTCGTTGTTATATTTCTGTGAAATCTTCCAGCAGGGATGTCTAACCCACAGCCTGCAGGCCGCATGCAGCCCAGGGTGGCTGTGAATACAGCCCAACACAAAATTGTAAAGTCACTTACAACCTTTTTTTTTTTTTTTTTTTTTTTTTGCTGCTCATCAGTTTTCATTAGCGTTTGTGTATTTAATGAGTGGCCCAGAGACAACTCTTCTTCCAGTGTGGCCCAGAGATGCCAAAAGGTTGGACACCCTTGTAGAGGAATAAGTCTAAAATGAAAATCTGACTTCTATGTATGCCTCTTCTGCTTGACACAACCCTTCTATTGTTAGGGGATTCTGGCGGACTTGACAGTCCTCCTCCATACCTTTTCCCTCTCACTTCCCTAAGAGTTTTGTAATTAGACGGATTTTCAGCATTAAGACTTCCAGAGCACTTGTCAGTCACACGCACAGTACAGCTCGCCATGCACCGCGGCCGCGGTAACTGAGATGTGCTGGCCACAGACCTGCACACACAGGCACAGGGCCACCACCCTCCGCTGTGCGCGGTATCACGAGGCTTACCCACACGGCCCTTCTGGCTTCTGTTGCGTGTTAGACATGACAGACCATGCTTCTGGGAAGTGTAACACACCCAGCAAGACAGGAACTGTTTACAAATTATAAACACACAGCCGTTTCCTTCCAAACTAGAAGAAGAGAGGGAACTCCTTTCTATCCAAACTATCCATCTTGAAAGTGACACTCCTTAATTGCCAGCACCCCTTCCCACCACATACCATCCCAGACAACTGCGGAGATGAAAGCGCCCGGGGCCCCTTGGCACCATTTTCCCGGGAGATGGACGCTTTCCCATATTCTGTCTGTCTCCGATGCACAGACCAGGACCCGGTCTGGGGTCTGTCATACTTTTATTGTCTGGAACCGGGATTGTTGTAAAATGACATCACAGTAGCCTCTTGCTCCCTTCTCATTGTTAAAAGTCTGTGGTAGTGGCCTGTATTAGAAACCAAATTAGACTCCACAGTTTCGCCTTCCTTTCTTTTCTGGGCATTCAGCTGTAACAGAGAACTTTTGGGTAACTAGTTCTTTGGCTTTTAGAGACCTAAATGCACAAAACTAAACGTCAAAGAGAGGAAAAAACTTTTTTTTCGTTTCTCCTACCTGATGGGCCACACAAGAAATTGCTTGTTACAAGTATAGTTTGCCAGGGACCTCAGAACACAGATAATGACTAAGTTCAGCCCACAGCAATCAGCTGACATTTCCTATGTGTATTAGATTCCATATGTGGAATTCTTCCTTGTGGACCTTATTTGTACGGATGGATTACAATGAAAATTGCATTAATTTTCTACACAGTAAAGGTCAGTAATTGAAGCATGAACCAAGAAACTATTGTGTAAAATGCTGTGGTCCATACTTAGGAAAGGTCATGCAAAGCACTAATATCTTGTTTTCATTGTGGAAGGTATAAATACTTGCATTCAAGTTTCTTTCTTTTTCCAGCCCAACAATTATTTTCATAGAGTATTTCAGCATTTACTATTAACATCAGGAAGGACAAATCATAAGAGCATGTAATAATAATTTTAAAATCCTGCTTATTGCTATCATAAGGAAACTATACCATGATACCTATGTTGTGGGTTGGTTTGTCTTTAGCTCGACTGTCAGAATAAGACTTGAGTGATCTGGGGTGTTTTTTGTTTGTTTGTTTGTTTGTTTTAGGATGATCAATGAGTTTACAATTGCCTTACAGTGTTTAGGAAGAGAAAATTACCCTTTTATATTAATTATGGGTGAAAAACAGATAGATGTTTTCCTTTAAGGAAATAAGGAACATCTGACACCCTTTTGCTGATCAATTGTGGGACATTTCATAATGAAGGGATGCAAATAAATATTATACTGCATCTTCTTTTCACAAGTTAGGATGTCATCATTAAAATTTAAGGACTCTTTAAACCATCCATTTCAAAGTTGAAAGTGATTTTCACCCTCTGAACTGATTCGTCCACTCCGGACTACCCAAGCAGAGCCTTCGTAGAGAAAGAAACACATGGCACATAATCCAGAAGGAATTCCTGCCATAGGTTAATCTGCGTAGTTCTTGGGGTGAGTTGGGTAGGTCCATGATACCTCATGCCCTCTGTTTTCTGGTTTCCAGAGAGAGAAGATGATCTGTAGTATCTCAACCAGGGAAGGCTCTCATTCTTAGAGGTGGTCTCCTTACAATCCAATAGTGAGAGTAGTTTTACTTATGATGCCTTCGTAATTTAAGAATACCCCAAACACAGGAAGTTAGTTTGATTAGTGATTTTTAAAAAACTACTGACTGTGCAGTGGTATGTTAAGATGATAAGGTATGGTATTTTTAAGAAAATACAAAGTCAAAGAATATCTTTGAAAGGTTAGCAATGATTGAATATATTCACACACATTTTAGAGCCTATGCAAACTGTATCCAGGGCATATTGTAGAGGACCGGCTTATGGGTAATTTTCAGGGGAATAAAGTAAATGGCCATTCTGATTTAACTGCTTTTAATTTGATTTAATATGAATTTTAGTGATGAAGTAATTTAATTGCTAACATTTCTACCATACCATCTTAGTTTTGAGACTTTAATATTAAAATGGATTCCAGCCAACTCTTAACGATCGGTTTATGCATGTTTGAACAAGGAGGGGTTGGCTTCCTTACTTCCGGCAGTCTTTTCTCTAACATGTCGAATAGCTCAGATTTTCCTTTTCAACATGAAATCTCCATTCTTAAAAATATTTTGGCTTCATTACCTTTAGAAGCAATCCAGGAATGCTATTAATCTGACCTTTTGAAGCATTGCTCCTCCTACTCACTCCCAAGCACACCAATTCCACTTGTGGACTTGCTTTGAGATTTCTCCTGTAAGGATTATACTTGTTAAGTTACTCCCAAATATTGTGAAATATGATATACCAGACTATAAATTAGATGGATTCTCTATCCTTCTATTAGCTAATGTGCACTAACAGAATACAGTCAGAGGCTCTGATTTTATAGAGTATAATGCATCTAGATATTTAATTTCCCATTGCCTGAAATTTTGATGTCATGGGAATGTAGGCGATGTTGGACATTGCATCTCAATTACCCACAGGTCATTGTTTTTCTGAGGATAGTAGCTGTTCCTCTTGTTTTTCCTAATGAAACCCCTTGTTCCAGTGTGGTTTGCACTAAGTCCCAATTATCCAGTGAGTTTAGAAGATCACTGATAGGTAATTTACAATATAATTGGTAGAAAGATGGGTGGGGTACCACTTTTTTCCTCTTTCAAGGGACAAGTAATAACTTACAGTAAGTAATAAATGGCGTAACTGTAATAATTTAAAACAAGATCATTTGGAGAGAGGCTTAGCTAAATATAGTTAAATTTAAAAATATTAATATTTGTAGAGTGCTTACAATTTTCAGGCTGTTTTAATGTGTTTCAGCTCGTTCAGTACTCAAAATAAACCATTAAATTAGCTATTATTTCCCCCTATCTACAAATGTACAAACCCAAATTAAGAGAAATGAACTTGATAGGATGGTAGCAAGACTGAAATCCAGCTCTTCTGACATAAATCACATTTATTTTTTGACCGTGCCACATCATTATGGAAGAAACATATCATTAATTTATTGGTTCAATTGTCTGCATTACTGTATATTTATGGAGTGTTTTCTCTGGATGAGAGCCTCTATAGGCACAAACATTGCCACTCTAAGCAAGGTGCTCCAAGTAAATAACGAGTGCAGTGTGATTGCTACTTTTGTCAAGGTCTGAGCGTTGTGTTGGGCCGTGGAGAGGAAGAGGGTGGCTGAATCAGAGATGCTAGGGGAGTCCAGACATTTGAGCCCTGTCTTAGGGTAAGAAGAACTTCTTGTTGCATCATTTGGTTGCATAAATATTTTTTCCTTCCACCCTCCTTACTCCCCACTTCAAAGAAAACTCAGGGCACCCAACTCAGTTAGCAACTCCAGCTCACTGGGTGTTTACCTACAATAGTTGCAGTTAGAGAAAACCATCAGCCCTGCCTGCCTTGGGGTGGCAGGCATGGCATCTGTCAGTTGACTCACAGAAACTTCTATTGAGGTGTTGAAGCCAAAAAAACATGTTGGTAAATACCTGTCAGAGTGGAAGCGTTATATGTAATGACCAGATAGATAGAACAGTTGAAAACCACTTAGAAATTATATTGATTGAAAATCCAAACAGTCTGTTTTATGTTCATTTCCTAAAGCAAAAGTACTGCTGGAGAGGGAAGTGCTCTCCTGAAAGAATACTGATTTTCTTTCCCTCATTGCTGGGGCCCGCACCAGGGACTTGACTGTGTGCGCGCATGTGGTTGTGTGTGTGTGCGTGCGTGCGTGTGTGTGTGTGTGTGTGTGTGTGTGTGTGTGTGTCCCACCCCCATGCACGCACAATGCATCTCATGGGAAGAAGCCCTAAAGACAATTCCCGGTACAAAAAGCCAGGATTCCCAAAGAACACTTTTTAATCTTGTATATCAGAAATATTGCTTCTTGTTCTTTGTTATGACAGATGTTGAGAGAGGTTTTTTTTTCATGCTAAATGCCACTCAGTCTATTTCTGATGTTTATCATTTTTTTCAAGTTTTCAAATTGCAGGCTTTTAATATTCAGTGGGATGGAACAGACCAAACATACTCCCATTTGCAGTCTAAAGTTACATTTTCTCATCTTTGCTCTAGATGGCTGAAATTACTAGGAAGATCTTGAGACAGAAATTTTGTGTTGATGCCTTTTGGGAACCCTGTGCATGCTCTGACAAATACTACTCAATTTTTGCATGTATGGTCAATTTTTAGGACTACGTTTCTGGTTTTGGTTAGGTAATTAAAGAGAAAGGAGTATTTTTCCTAAATCAGAATAGGCAGAAAAGATTTAAAGTCATGTTGTTGATTATAAAATTAATTCTCAGCTGTAAATTCATTGTAATGGTGTTAACTCTCCCCCAGAGGCATGAAGCTGGTTTATTGGACCACGTCCTGTACTCACTGGAGACATGCAGAAGACAGCAGGGGCTTGAAGAAGGAAATATTTGCCTCTTGATTTATTTCATTTTTGGTTTTCAAGAAAGAATAATTCTGTTGCAACACATGTACATTATTTGTTCTTAATGCAACTGCTTACAAAACTTAGCCAAAAGACTTTTTTTTTTGACATTTTAGAAAGAAATAGACGATGAAAAAACAGCGATCTTGCCTTGATATAATATACATGTTTAGGTTACAGAGTTGGTGTTGCCATTAGTTTTCTTACGATGAGCGCAATTCTTTCTTTACTGAGTATCCAAGACAGAGGGATATTATGAAATTTCCATTCTGGACCTAAAAAGCTCCACACTTTCATCTCTTCCGTTGTGTGATGATACAGGCTTGGCTCATAAAGTAGACCCTAAATTGTGTTTTCAGATTTGTAATAAGTAAAATCCATCCTTTTTCAAGATCTAAAAATATGTTGTTAGCCGCAATTATATTGTTTGTTTAATCACTTCAGTGGTTATCACAATTTTTATTACTCATTTCCCTCAAATAATTGGAAGCCTCTTATGTTAAGGAAAAATGTAAGCACATGTGATAGCAGTTCTGTTTTTCTGAATGAATCACTGTTGCTCTTCCTAGGAAATTTGGTAGCAGCAGATGCAATGTTGTGTTTGCTAAACTGTGTGACCACCACTTTCCCTGGTTCAATCTGAAATGTGTAAATAAAGCCAGCATGTTGCAGATAGAACTGCAAGATAATCTCATATAACACATGACAACATGAGTAGACTTGTTCTGCAAGATCATTGCTTTGGAAACTTAAATCAACCCCAGTGTTGTTTTGACTACACCGAATGTTGGTTATTCATCCTTTTGTCCCTTTGCATTCTTGAAGGGAAGGGACTTATGTGTGAAGCGCCTACTGTACCAGGTGCTTTACAGGTGACATGATATTTAATTCTCCAGAGACTCCCTATGATCTCCCTTCTCTGATCTCCCAAAACTGTAACTCTGAAAGGGTAAGGAACTTGCGCTGATCACAGTGCAAGGAGAACCCAGGTGCCTATTATTTACAAATGTGTAGGCTTATGGAGTTGGAACCTTTCACTGTGTACTTGCTTGTTTCCTCCCATCACCAAACTCATGAAAAAGGAAAAGGATATTGTGGGAATTATTTATTATTCTGATGTACTAACTCATACTTTCTTTACAACAAGAGCATTAGCATTTGTGTGTTTTATCAGGGAAAAAATCAGTTAACTGAAATAGGACATTTTTATGAAATGGAGCCACGTGGAAATTTGAGGCATTGTCCAAAAAATTGTTTTGACCTAAACTCTGTGCTGCTGCAAAGAGGAAGCCACTTTTGCCCTTTGGGTCAAGTTCCCCGATGCTTTCAGTCCCCCTTTATAAGCATGCTTACTGGTGTGACCAGCACAGATGCGTGTTCACCATTGTGCCTGTTAATAGATGGTGGATTGCTGAGCATGAACTGGGTCGCTCTGGTAGTCAATGTAATTTATAATGCAAACTGCTTAAAGTATTCGAGTTAATAAGAGAGTAAGGGAAATAAGGACTTTAAAATTAGGGTGGAAATGTAAAAATATCGTGGCAGTTTGACATGGCAAGAGGAAACAGTGAGGCTGACTTTTTCTCCTGTGCTAAATGGTTGGATAAAGGACTACAGACCAGATGGAAGGAAGTTATTCAAACCGTCCCAGCCCACTTCGCTGAAGAGGGGGGTGCCAGCGGTCCACTCTGAACTCCATGCCTCTCTTGGGTCTATTTCAGCCAAGTAGCTTCATAAACAAGGGCAGAGGCAGGGAGGGAAGTTTGTGCTTTTGACATTTCATGCAAATTGGTGCCTTTACCCACAATCCCTACAGGGCGGTGAGTTCTTCATCACTCCGTTCATGGGTCCAGTTTGATGGAACAGAGCGTACAAGATGAGAATGAATTCTTTCTTGTGTGACACAGAAGGATATTATAGAAATGGTCTTTTAAATTGAGACACTTTTGCTCGGTAATTTAGCATAATTTTAACCTAAGTAAAATTCTAAATAGGAAAAAAAGTTTTGCTAGAGTTATTGGAGGTTTTAGGGGTCATATATTAGATGAAGCAGCTACAACAGCCCAGCTTGGCAGGAGCTGAGAGGACTCTTGAATCTGGGAGCAGTAGATTTCATAAGCTAGAATATGGTATCAAATATTAGAAATAGTGTAAAAAGATTCCGCTCTTCAGGGAATCTTCTTTTCTCCATTTGAGTAAGTCCTAAATTATTTATATAAGCATTCACTACTTAACTGTAGCAAAAAACAAGCATGTTTAAGTTTTTCCATAAGCAAAGTAAGGCTAATATTCTTAGAAAGCTGAATTCCATTTCACATAAAGAATTGTAGACGGAGGGAGATGGACGTATATTTGCTTCCAGTTCCAGGAAGGAAAAAAAATGACCAGCTGTTGGGCACCCTCCGTAGAAATCTACTGGGCAGCCTGCAGCTCTCGGCTGCATAGCATCCGGTGACTTCGTAGCTGCCTCCTTACTCTGCTTCCGAGGTGGTTGCCAGAGAGTGACGGAAATGGTCACCAGGCCTGCAGTGGATTTAAAACATGAATAAAAATGCAGCAGCATTTGGCTAAGAAGCCACAGTGTTAGGAAACCGCAGTCTCTGAATATCCAACGCGCCATGTTGTTACCTGCCGGCAGTACTGCGATGGAGGGCGGAGGTGAGCTGGCAGGTAGCCTCGGGAAGACAAAGGGGAAATCAGGGTCAGCCAGACAGAAGGAATTGCAAAGCCCTCTGACAAAAGCACTGCCCCCGCAGGGAAATGAAGCTCTTTGTTCCCAGGGGCTTCCGTTCATCACCATAGCATGTGAGGCTCCCACTCTGAGGACTGGCCCCTGAATGAGGGGGCAGAGGTTTTAGGGGAGTCAATAAATATTTATGTTGTGAAAAATGTGACAGCTCTTGGAGTCCCTCTGTTGATAATAACCATGCTCTTACACCACAGCGTACTGATTTCTAGAGCGAGACAATAACAGTGTAACTGAGTGAAGTCTTTCTGTTATGTTTCTTAGGAAAGCGAGAAAAAGGGCTTCATCGAAAGAATCTACATGGTACAGGATATTGTCTCAACAGTTCAAAACATCTTGGAGGAAGTAGCTTCTTTTGGAGAAAGAATTAAAAAGTGAGTGTTGCATTTGCATTGTGGTATTTGATTTAGAGCTGCCATCCACAGGGCACGGGGTGGGGGTGGGGCGTGGGGGGGCGAGATCAGAAAATACAAAGATGGAAACCAAGGGCAGTGGTGTCAGGCAAACCCCACCTACTTTGGTCGGTTTGCTCTGAGGGCTTGCCAGTCTCTCAGCCGGGCAGGGCCTCAGACAGGGGTGGCCGGGGGGCCTGCTTTACGCCAGTCATCCCAGCATAATTATTAATAATGCTCCCTTTCACTCTCAGAAATATGCTGGTGATAAACTAGATTTTAAAAAAAGGATTATCCTATTCACAAATAAAAAGGAAAGTAACTATGTTTTAAAGAAGTCTTTTTCTTTTTTTTAATCTGAACCACAGGCCACAGTAATGCCTTGATTGAAATGTTTTCTCAATTCTTCAAATAATGGTACCTAACTAGTAGTATCATAGATGCAAAGGTGTGTATGTGACTGCCTTAGGACAGAGGTCAACAAGCTTTCTCTGTAAGGGGCCAGAGAATAGTGATATTCCTGGCTTTGTGGGCTATGGGGTCTCTGTCACAACCACTCAACTCTCTTGTTTACATGTAAAAGCAGTCACAGTTGATATGTAAATAAATGGGTTTAATATGTGTTTCAGTAAAACTTTATTTGAACACACAGGTGGATTTGAGTCAAATCCAGCGCATAGCTTGCCCTTTCCTACCTTAGAGTGGAGGGCTAACTTTTCTAAAGGAGTCCCAATTGAGAAAGACTCTTCTGTGATTTGTGTTTGTTTTTTTTGTTTGTTTGTTATACAGTATTGAACTGTTCATAACTTGGTCTTCATTTGGTACCCGTGAATAGACTAGTTTTGAATTTTTTTTCTTTGAATTGTAAACTTACTTTTTCTCCCTTTAAATCCAGAAGTGTCAGCCATATTTTTCTTTCTAATATTAATGCCTTTTTAAAATCTTATTAGTCAATCCATTTTTTTTTTTTAAGTAAAGGAGACAATGTTTAGAAATTACATTTGGGTGAAGAAGAGAAACAATAGTGCTAAAAGCCGAGTGAAAAGTTTTGTCGTATCAAAATGCAGAGGAATCGATAAATGGTCATTAATCTCAGGAAACATAAATATTTAATATGAAACTTTCTCTTGATACTGATCTTCTTTGTCAGTTCCTTATCAAATGAAAGTGCCCTTGCCTACCCATTTATTATTGTCCAGGTAAACATGTTCGTTTTGTTTAAAAAATAGGTTAAAACCGTCTCAACAGAAATTTGGTGAGTTTATATATTGTTGCTCTCATTGTCAATGTCATAGGAGAAGAAAAATTAAACAGTAGTAGAACTTTTGTTTATATATATCAATCCGCTTTATTCCTCGAAGTTTCATATGTATATATTGACAAAGGATTCCTGAATTAATCTTCAAAACTGTTTAATAAAAACATAAGCGACAGTAGAAAATAGTGAAATGAGGAGAAAGGGATTATAATTCCTCATTCATTCATTCATTCATCCAGCTCTCAGTTCTTGAGTTTCAGACACGGATGTGGTCTAAGAATGAGAAATGCATCCATAACAACAGTAATAGCAACGTTACCTGATGCCATGTGCCGTCCAGTGTCATAAGCCCTCTGCACGTAGTAACTTCTTTCAGGAGTTACTTAGAGGAATTCGATCAAGAGATTCCAATACTCCTATGTGTTAAGGATTCTTACTATCCCCGTTTTACAGAGTCATTAACCACCCTATTTTACAGAGCAATTACCCACGTAGCCCAGGGTCACACAATTAGTAGCCACAGAGTTTGGATTTGAACCTGGTGTCCTCACTATTGCACTGTAATTTCATCATATGCTAGAGATCTATTTTCCAGTGAGAAAGAAGAACAGTAATGAAACAGGTAGAATTCAGGAGCATTGATGCTAGATTAGAGGTAAGACAGGATGTTGGGAGAGGTCTGACCAGCTCAGAAAGAGGGCACTTCTGACAAAGCGACAATTTGTCAGCTTTTTTGAGACTGGGAAGGGCTACCTGGACACAGAACTGATGAATAGGGGCTTCAGTAGGTGCGAACCACAGTTCCAAGGCTCAAAGCCCAACACTCTGCTAGATACAGGGAGATGGAGTGATTTAGCACGTCAGCGCTGTAGGCCGTGGTTGCGGCACGCCTGGAGGTGAGGCCGGCCATTCAGGGGCTTGAGTGGATTGAAAAAGCCAATGAAAAAAATGGAGTGAGGGACGTGTTGGCTGCACGGAGGATGAGAGGCTGTGGAGTGGGGGCAAGACCGAGGAAGGAAGGCCATGTCTTTGGTAACACCAACCCCATGCCTGAAAGTCTGTAACAGACAAATGTGGCTGTTGTGTGCTTGATAATGATCAAGGAAATGTGTCTGATGGGAGAAGAGGGCAGAGTGATTTAAACAGGCCCCCCCCCCGCAGTGCTTTTGAGGGCCGGCTGTGCCCAGCACAGCTGCGGTGGCCATGTCTAAGACGTATTTTCAGCCATGAACAGGGTACTGTTCTGCCCAGCTGCAGCACAGGAAGGCTTAGCTCCTATTAATTCTTTGGCCATTCATTATTACAGTGACCTTATAATGTTCCTGCTGGGTATTCAAGTGGGACGGCATGTGTAACTCTGTTGGAATCCCATTGTAATTCCGTGCTTCAGGACCAGGAAAACTTTTACCCAACTATTGGCAATTAGCAAATAAATAGACTTACATAACATCCTGAGAGCTAGGCTTCTCTGTTATGGACGGAGTGGACCCCATCAGTGCTGCATTCGTATGGAATGAACTGTATTTTTTTCCCACCTACTCTAATATTACACATATTTCAAAGGTACGGATATATCAGGCTAAAATAGGAATCACCATGTTGCATCCGTATTATCCCAGGCAGCAGGCAGGATGTCAGAAGAGCGATTTCTATGTCCTGTCAGTAGGGAGTGGTGGCCCCTACCCTGTCGTTGAACTGGAAGGGAAATTTCCACAGAGAAGATGATGATATTAAGGTGGACCCGGGACCGGGAAGGCACCCCTGCAAATGTTCCCGAGTTAGGCTTCGAAGGCACATCCTTCGGAGCTGGAACTTTTCTGGCTCAGATGCGATGCTAAAAAACCGTAAATATGAAGATGAGGAGGCAGGTTAATTCTGAATTATGGTGAGGACCTGGGAATTATGGGCTAATGTGTTTTGTGTTTAATCTAAGAGGGACATCGTGAAAGGGACCAAGAATAAAGGCAGCAAAACCAGAGGGAGAGCCCGAGGCTCCCTGTGAGGGGAGCAGTCACCAGTCAGTGTGATAACCACAGTTGTTCATTACAAAGGAATAATCTGCAGGATTGTCAATCCAGTTGTCTCTGTGTCTGTGGGTAGGACAGTGAGAGGACTTCCTTTGTTCAAGCCTGGAAAATGAGGAAGCCAGCGATTCTATTAACACGAAGATCAAATGGCGGGGCAGCCGATTTGGTGAGGAGTCAGGCTAGACCGTGGGGTTGCACCCACCTTAGCAGATGTGGCCACATCCTTTGTATAGTGTTTTGAAATTTTGAAAATGGTATTTTGAAGACCTGCTAGTGAACCCCAGTGGCTTAATGAGTGAAAGGAATTCATTAATTTTTTTCACTCATTGGAAGGATTGACTCATGTGTCTCATTACTGCCTGAATCAGGGATTCCCTCCTTAGAATTTAGGGAGCTCCCAAGTCAGGAAAAAGGGGGAAACCTATGAAAACATTGAAGAAATTGATTTCAGGATTGAAAGCTTTGATTGACCAGGTTCTTCAACCTTGGATGTTCTGTGGAAGTCCGAACGAACTACAGGACACTCTGTGATAAATGGGAAGGAGGGATAGTAAGCCTTTGACTGTCAGAGGTATTACTATACAGCGACCTGACTAGGAGCTCCGGTGTGATGTTGATCCAAACTGGTGTTGATGAATATCCTTTTCTCATTCATGATCTTAGATAGACAGCCTTCAACATTTCACACTTAAGGACAGGTCAGTAGACAAAGTTGTGAGCGAAAGTGAAGGCCCAAAAGAAGAAATACCCTAGGCATTCAGTGGCCTAATCTAGGGCATTGACTGAGAGGCCATTTTCTTGGATTGTGCCAGGTTTCCACAGTACATTCAATTTCACACATTCCATGTTCAAGACCTCCATTCTCACACAAATCTAAGCGGGCAACAGATAGGAGCCAGCGGCCCTGTAAAAATGTGCGAGAGCTTCGCCTGCATCCTCTCTGGGTGGGTGATGTAATGGTTTACAGTCAAAGCCTGCCTGGCCCATTTCAGGGCGCTATTAAGATTCTGTTGTAAATGAGTCTGGAAATTCTAAATATGTTATTAGAAAACACAAAAGCACTGAAGTACTGTAATGATATCCCCCCCTTCCTAAATATTTACTGGCAGCTATGTGTTGAGAGAAATATTGACTTCAAAGTGGCCTAAATAACCTTTCGTTTTGAAGATCTCCATGGCAGGGAGACATGGTGACAATATTGCAGTTTGTAATCACTTTTGAGAGCCAAAGCTTTCTCTTCTGAACTGTCGGTTCCAGGAAGTTCGATGGCAATTGGTCTGGGGACCTTCTCCTGAAGGATGTTTCTCCAGCGCCGAATCATTTTGGCAGACTTTCATGTCCAGATTTCCAAAGCAACTTTTCCACTAGACTGTTTTCATTTGTATAACTAAGAAATAAAAGGGACAGAATGAAGCCATGTCGCCTTTTCAGCTTCAGCGGAAGTGACATTTATGTGGTTTGTCTACAGCACATTTAACTGGACGGTCCCCTTTCTTTCATTCCTGGCCTGTGTGATGCTGGCGGTTGCTACCATCACGTTGTACTTCATTCCACTTCGGTACATCATTTTAATCTGGGGTAAGTATGACACTGTCCTTTTGCTAGCAACCCATGCCCGGTAAGAACAAATTACTCCTCTTTAAAGTGTGACTATAAACTTTAAATGTGTTCCTGTTGGCAATTAAACATTAAGGGAAGCCTATAGGGAACCCGAACCTCCAGGGCCTCCCGGCAAAGACCGACCATGTGAAGGATCTGCATAGCTCGTGAAAGGCCTGTCACATAACTGTGACCAAATAAAAATGGGATCGTGCCTGTGACTTCCCTTTGGCTTTCATGGGCATACATTCTCTTAAATAATATATTGCTGTCATCCAGTAACTTTCAGGATACAGTGTTATGCAAACAACAAGCAAACACCTGTAGCTTGTCCTTTATATTATATCAAAGTAGCCAGGCCACTCCTGACACTTCATCTCTCCTGCGGGGAAAAAATAACCCAACCCAATACTTAAATCCAGAAGCCATGGGGCCCAGAGAAGGGCTCTCAGTGACTTACCTGGTCAGTGCCAGAGGGGAGAGGACGCTGCTGTTCACCCGGGGAGATGGTGTGCCTGTATACAGTTTAGCTGCTTTAAAGAAGTAGAGATTAAAAATGGCAAACTTGAAATAAACTTCATGAGTTGATTTACTATGCCCGCTAGCCATCAGGTAAGATATGAGCAGCTCTATGAATACGTGCGATGTTGCTGGGTGGGCTTGGAGTTGAGAGCTAGAGGGAGGGTGCATTGCAGGAAATTAATTGTGGGAAACACCATCAACCTTTCTGCATCAGTCCCGGTTTTCCGTGACGTGGCTCCGATGACCGCTGCTGAGTCCTCAGTCATTGTCACTGTTAGGGACCTTCCCTGTTGAGATATTCAGAGAAGTTTCAAATATAAGAGATCGTGATGAGGTGCCTTCATCTTTAAGCAAAAGCTAAGAGGCCCCCCCGCAAAGGCTACAACCTTCCTAAAAGAGAATGCACCAAGGTAGAATCCAGATGTCAAAGGAAGCCAAACCTAGACAGGCAGAAAGGAGCAAAGTCATAGGAAAATAGAATAACCCACAACATTTCAGGAGTAGAGTGATTTCATGAGAGCGTAGAGAGCGTAGTCCATTCATTCTCTATTGTGTGCAGGAGGAAAACCATGACTTACTTAACTTTGTGTCTTTTGATAGCACGCTTTCTCTTACTCGGAAGACACTCACTCAGGATCTGATACATGAGCACGCCAGACCCTTCCGCCCCAGCTCACCCACCCCCACCAATACCTTGCAGACAGGGCTGCATGCCGGTCACTCACACGCAGGGGCGGGCAAAAGTAGGCTTTGGAGCTGTTTACATGGAGAAGCACATGCAGGTTATGATTATTACCATAGCTTTATCAACTCACAAGAATGTCACAGTGAGACTGGAGTATTTACAGTGCCTGCCCCTGTAAATACTGACATCTGAAAAATTGTGTTATAATTCAGAATTACGTAGAACATGTATTCCCTGTAGGTGCAGAGCAGCCACGCAGTTTTTCCTGTCTCTGACCTCCTCCGAGTGATCTTTTCGTTTCTCACTGGCGGGCTCATTCCACTCCACTGAGCTATGCTCTCTGTGCTCTGAGACCATTAAACGATCCTGTCTTTTCCCAAATGTTATCCCTTGGTATTTGAATCTCGCTTCCTTTTTTTAAATTTTTGGTTAAATAAATAAATAAATAAAAATTCACAGCAGATATGCCTTCGAGCTGTATTGTTTAGGTTCGAAATCTAAAAATTCGGACGTGTGATCACATGCCTAGTAGTGTAAAGACCTCCCCTACCCCCCATCACTGCCTTTTTTTTTTGTTTGTTTGTTTTCTTGGCTTATTGCCATCTATAGTAGGGACGATTCCCACCTCGTTGATGTAGAATTTCAGACGACAGAATCCTCTGGCCTTTGTTGTCCGGGGTGATTCTCCCATCAACCGAGGAAACCTTTGAGGGCTGGTCTTAATTATTCAAATGTTAACAGGAGAGGGCAGGTCAAGTGATCTGGCTGAAGTCGCAGAGTGAACACACGGTGAAGTCAGAGCTCGGGCCCAGTGTTATTCCTTGGTCCTTGCCCCGTAGAGATGACCAAGGGGCGTCCACGATCCCCTGCTGCCTCTTGGTCTCAACCAGTAGGTCATATGGTGGAGTAGCTGACATTTGAGCCTGTGATGCCTTAAAAAAATAAGGTACGTTCTTGAAGCGTGCAGTCTGAGTGCCTTATGCTTTTTATTCTAAGTTTTTAAACATAGGCAGTCTCAGTGCATCGTGGACTATTTCTGCCCTCGGTGCATTAGAGCTACTGTGCAGGTTTGTAATCTCAGTAACTAAGAATGTGGTGTTTTGATCGGCTGTGACATTATCCCTGCCGTGCTGTTCATTGTAAAGACTCCAGATGTGCACACTATATATAATTAACAATAGAAGATATATCTTTTCTCAATATGCCTTTGTCTCCTTTTATCATTTTGCCTTGTCTGTTTTCTTTTGCCAAAAGCCCATGCTACAATTAATGTCCTTAGAATAAAACAGTGAGTGTATTTTAGTTTAAAGGAACGCGGGGGGAAATTTTAGTTAGAAACATAAAGCTGGCTGTGGGGGTAGAGGGAAGAAAGACAGCACAGCTTTGACTTGGGAGAAAGGGAATGATTTGCAAGAGGACTCTTCACCAGCCCTGCCACCAGGCTTCCATTTACTGGGGAACAATGGCTGGCTGCCATTCGCAAAGCAGAGATAAACCTGACCATCTCTAAGGAAATGACTGGCATTGTGTCAGGTATGAAGCCACCCAGGAAGTCCGGTCTTAGATGAAAGCAAAATAATAGCTAACGAAATTAGAAAAACATCAAACCTTGTGTGTGTTAGGAACCATTAAACAACTAACAGTCACCGTGGCTGAGGAATTGGAGCCAGTCGAGGTATAGATGCCTCAGGTGAGAATTCCTTCCACATCCTTGGAATTAACGAGACCTGCAGGTATAACCAGCGACAAACCAGCTTTCTGCGGCAGAAGTTCTGAAGGCCACTGAGTTGTTCTGCATGAAAAAGCGCTGACATTTGGTGAAAGGAAGACAGTTTATGAATAGTGGACATAGGCGAGGAGCTGAGGAGGAGACAAAAGGCGGTTAGAGGAGCTCAGCTCTGAGAGGAAACGGTGGACGGAGCCCCAGGTGCTGCCACCAAACACGCCGTACACGGTGAACCCCTTGCTAACATCCCTGTCCCCATCTGCAATTAGCACAGACTCCCTCTCCTAGACAAACCCACGCCCCTGTGCTGCGGTCCATAAATTAAGTTAGCAACCACAGGAAGATAATTTTCCAATAATAACTTTTCACAGTTTCCTGCAGCCTCAAAGCACAATCAACATGTCAAGTTCTGTTCTGCCGGGAGAGAGGAGAAACCTGTGAAAATGAGTCGGAGGGGGAAGGTAGATTTCTGCAGCTTCGTTTTAACAACAACAACAAAAAAACCAACTCTGGCCCTGCACCTCCTACCGCTCCAGTCGGTCCAGAGCCCCCAAGCAGAGACTTGTTTGGGCTAATGAAGGCCTTTTCCCATCTGGGACATGTGTTTCCCTAGAAGAGGAGGCTGTTAATCAGCGTAGTCCAAACACCAATGAGCGCCACAGTTTTCGCGTGTGTTTCTGCCGCCCTGCTGCTGGGATTGTAATGGGATTTTCACAGCGGAAGAAGGCAGAGCCCCTCTCTGACAGCCCCCCTGCCTGCCTTCCAGAAAAGGCACTTGTGAATGATTCCGCATGACAGCCACATGGGCGCGGCTCGAGGTCTAGTAATTGTTTTCACACTAATTTTTACTTGTGAATGCCCCTCCTCCCCAAGTCAGGCAAGTTTTAAAGGTAGAGGATACGTAGGCGGACAGGCAGGCGGACAGACAGACAGATAGACAGACAGACAAAGAGATCTCCCCGTGTTTCTGTTTTCCAGGCATAAATAAATTTACTAAGAAGCTTCGAAATCCCTATGCCATCGACAATAATGAGCTACTAGACTTCCTCTCCAGGGTACCGTCTGATGTTCAAAAGGTACGTAATGAACGGTCACCACCAACAGGGGCCCCGCCATGGAAGCCTGCCCAGGCCTAGAGCCAGAGAACAGGAGGCTGCGCTCCTGTGAGTAATTGCGATAACGAATCAGAAAATCCTTAAAGAGGCCTGGCTGGCAGGGAGGTGGCAAGAAAACCTTTGTCCCAGGCATGAGATGATGGGAGAAAATTATCCTGAAAAAGAGCTACTTAAGAATGATCTGGAACTCACACTGCGCGGCTCTAATGCGGTGGTGTTTGTCCCTTTTTTGATTGCCTGCCTCCCCCAAAGAGGATAAGATGGACTCAGTGAGTGGTAGAGTCTGAGGTCCACATCTAGGGGATGCTGGCTTATTCTTCTGCTCTTCCGGATGGCAGGCATGTCATGGGAAGTAGGGGATAGGAGGATTACTCCCTTTATTCTTGTTTGCTCCTATTATCTCCTCGGCCTCCTTTCTCTTTCCCTCTAAAGATTTAGGGAGGCTTAGGGCAAAGCCCCCACTTACTCTAATACACAGAGAGGCAGAGACGGCGTGAAATAATTTGAGATCAATCAGAAGTATTATTCACAGGTAATGGTCACTTAGTCCAGCGGCATCGCGTGTCTGTGGCTACACAGAGACTCACCAAGGCAACAATACCAGCCAGCCCCGTAAAGTGGCCCGATCTGGGGCCCCCTCGGATGAGGCTGCCATAAACCCAGGGGGCAGGCAACAATTTCTGTAATGGAGAATAGGGGTCATAGGATCAAGAGATGGGAGACTGAAATAGTGTCACGGTGATCAAAGACACAGTTCTTTATTATTCGAGAGCATCCCAATTCAAATATCGATTTTTAGCTTTGGGCCACTGTGACATAATCATCCCCTGGAAGCTCTGGGTGGATTTCGGGGACATGGGGCTGAAAGGCCCGAGAACGGTTTCCTTTTTCCCCTTCATTCCGAATTCTGGAGATTAAAATAGACCCTGTGATGCCATAGGCCTTTAACTTCATTTTGATATAATTATCTATGAACATGTATTCTATAAATGTGATTTTACTCATTAACATTTGCATTGCATGATTATAAAATAGTTACCTGACCCTTGCTTGTTTTGCATGGAAGGGAGACAAGGGACTTTCACCAAACACCCCGAGGAGAGCGAAGTGTCTTTTTTCATGTATCTGCTTTTGACCCAGCGTAGCTCGACATATGTGATGGGTCCTGAAGTCCTTGGGGAGTTTGGTACAGATGCTCAAAGGAGCGAGCACATGTGGTCCGCAATGCAATACTGGAAATAAAGCCATTCCACCTTCCGCCTGTCAAAGCCCACACGCCAGAGCGACAGGATTGCAGCATGGCGTCACTTGAGTGGCGGCGTGTGTGCGTGCCTGCATCGCTGACAAATGCAGGTTGCCCCAGAGCCTGCCGGCCCTCGGGGCGGTCGCCCAGGTGGACTTGGCACAAACACATAGGCACCTAACAAAGAGCACCCCAGGAAGGCATCCCGTCTGCCAGTAAAGATCCTCTGTGCAAAGAGCCCTTTTTCATAACACAATAGACATTTTGCCACTGGGGGCTCCCCAAGGGTGCATATTTGTCACAGATGTTTTAGCCATTCCATTGGAAATGAAATTCATTTTTAAGAGAGATCTATATAAATCTGGGGCCAGTGTCCATTTCAACATTATTTTCCTCCCAGGCAAAATAAATGTATATAATTTGCAGATATTTTCCCCTAGATTTTAGATATTTTTTAAATGAATAATTCTTAGTAAGTTGCTGTATCATATACTAAGAGAAACATTCCCAAGAGGCCATTATTAGGTTTACTTACGGTGGAAAAGGGGCACACACACAAGTAAGATCCTCCCGCAGTGCCCAGAGCAGGTAGACCCCCATGCATCTCATTAGAAAAATCTGCTTTTAATATTTTGGTTTCAAGAAATGATGCATGACTTCTCAAATCCTTCCTGTAATTAATCCCTCCATGTTCCTGTGTTTAGAAAATGATTCATTACCTTTGAACCTTCCTTCCTTTGCCTTGGTTTGTCCTTGGGGAGCCATTAACACACACTGTGGTGAGCTAGGGTTACCCAACCGCCAGCGTCACGTCTGTTTGTTTTCACAGGTGCAGTACATGGAGCTGAGGCCCAGCAGCAGCCAGAGCCCCCTTCGGAAGAAGCGCAGCGCTCTCTAGGACGCGCACCGACTTTGGACACCAGCGGCTGATTCTGGGTTTGAGTGATTAGACCAATATTGTCATTCTTTCGGCGGTACCTGTGGTGTCATTCTGACGTGCATGTTGTGTGGCGCCTTCTCTGTATTGTCCCCCCCTTCTTCAAGTGCACGATGCACACACACAGATGGGCACATGCACACGACTGGGGGTCCTGCTTGCACAGCGGGTCAGCCCAGCAGAAGGAGACAGTCCGGAGACTGTGAAAGGCTAAAGCTGCCGTGGGTCTGAACACCCTCCTTGCGAACAGCCAGGAGACCACTTGGATTTGAGAGTGACTTTGAACTTGTTTTCACACCTCCGGCAGATTCTCATTAAGATTCGCTTATTTTTCACTCCCCACCCCCACACTCCTTTCAGATTGCTGTTCATGCGAGTCCGTTTTCTTCCCTGAGCTAACAGGTCTTTGACAGACATCGTCTGCCCAAGTGAGTATCTTCTGAACAGATTTTTAGGTAATGGCCAGGAGTAGCCTGCATCTTTGGGAATCGTTCGGCCGTGATTAGTGGAGGCCTGTATGTAACATTTCACTACACTCCTCCCTGTTGGGAGCCAGCCTGCGCCCCGGCCCGTTGCTGACAATGGGTGCCCCAAGGAGGTCCCAACGGAGCACTCATCGCAAAGGGAAGAGTTCCTGAAGGCATTTGGTTACCTTAAAACACCGTATCTTCCAATTTTACTGTTTGCTTACTTCCAAAATAAAATGTCAACATTATAGCTTCAGAAGTGGGAAGGGAATGAATGAATGAATTCGGAGAGTATTTAGAAAGGTAAAGACTAAGGAGCGAGAGTCTAGTAAATGCAGCTGCTTACCTGATTGTTGTAAGCACTTCATTTGCCCTGGGTTTTGTTGTTGTTGTTTTAAGCAGAAAGTAAAAATAGTTTAGCAGTCCAAATTGATCTTTTGTGCCTCTTATGGGTAAAATAGTTACTCATAAATAAAAGTATGTCTGATAGCCCCTTTCCTAGAAAAACACCACTTCCTTTAAGAGTATCTGACTCCTGCAGGACCTGCCATTTCAAAGTAACACGCCGCAAGTAAATATTCCAATTTGAGGCATATATATATATATACATAATATATGAAAATTTCTTTCTTTTCAAATGACATGTAAGTTGTAAAGACTGTATTTTGTTGACACATACTTTGTATGTGCATTTATATATAATATATATGTATTGTAAAGAAAAGTTGAGGTAAAAAGATGTGATTTAATAGTGAGTTTTGCTGTGTTTTTTTTCCCCCCTCTCTGGGTTGTAATTTAATAATCTTCAAACAAAATGTTTATGAAAAATGCCAAAGATTCTAAACCTTATCGTTCTGTGTCTGTTTTTCTTCATATTATATCTTCCTGGGTTGCTCTCTGGCTGAGCCAGATTTCTGCATGATTTGATTTACTTCAAGTTAATGAAGCTGGCTGGGAAGAATCTTGCAGAAATTATAAAAGCTCCAGTAAATCTCTTAGTTGTACACACAATAGATACCCAAGAACCTCTTTTGTGAAACCAGTTACTCAATCTTCTGTGTAAACAATGCCTCATTGTCTCACTCCTAGCTATCATCTAGTTTATCACAGTCTATCATTTTGTAAAGACCTAAGTCAGACATTTTTAAACAGACATGTGAGATCTGATCAGTCATTTGAATGAAAACTTTCAGCAGCAAAACAACCCCGTATTTATTTAAAAAGGGAACCAATACTTCACTGTTGTTCTTTTTTCTATAGCATTTCAAAATGAAATAATTCTCCTGACAAGAAGGCATCATTAGTTAGACTTATTTCCTTTGTAGCCTGCCTGAAATTCTCAGTGTTAAGTTTAGGCCACAAACAGCCACTGGGATCTGGAGAAGGACCCAGTCAACGCTTCATCAGCTGGATATGGACAACAGGTGTTAATTGATTCCATACACACTGGGCGTTAAAACTGAATGTCAGTTGTAAGTGAAATGTGAAGGTTTCTAGAAGGCCTCAGAAACTTGTATGAAAGATCCCACAATGCTTTAGATAAAATGTATGGATTGTGGATTCACAGTGTGATGATTAAAGATAATTTGGTAGTGAACTGGAGTTTGGCCACGCCATCCTCATTCTCTTCTGAAAACTCACATGCCCACCTCCAGCCCTGCCTTGGATGTCTTCAGGCATCTGTACCTCAGCGGGGCAGAAACTCAACGCTCCCTCTTCCCTCCATGTCTCCGGGACCCTAGCCCGGTAGGTTGCATCTGGCTCTCTGGTTTTCCTTATTAGTGGTGGAATCTTCTGGGCTGGGCAGCCCTGGGCACCCCCTTTTTTGTTCCCTCATGCTTTCCCTCCTTTTCTAATGCGTAAACATGGGCAGATTCAATGCTGACGTAGCATCTTCCTCATTTCTATCTTGCCCACTTCCAGTTGCCGCCGCCCTGGTTGAGGAGGCATGGCAATGCATCAACGATGTTATCCCAGGTTAATCCTCGTTTTGGACTATTCTTTTACTATCTTTTTCACGTGGAATACTTTCTTCTCTGTTTCTGTCTAAATAACTTCTGCCTTCCTTCAGAATTTGCACAAGTCTCCTGCCCCAAAGAGGCTTTCTGAAGAAAGTTCCTTGGCTGGATGAGATTCCACCCTTTCCTCTTGCATCCCCATGCCTTATATGTCTTTCCGGGATTGGTCATATTCTGCCATAGCTCATAGTTACCAGAGTCCTTGACTTTCTCTGTTCTCTACTGGCTAGCTCATCCTAGCTGGTATCTAATAGACAGTCTATAAATATATATTTAACTGACTGGGTCATAGAGGACTTTTTTTTCTCTACACTTTCATGTGTCACTCTCAGAACAGAGGGCTGAGCTGGCTAGGCGAGTGTGGTCCATCCCAGGAAATAATTTCTTGATGAAATGCAAAGCTTGTATTATGTGATACTATCTATAAGCTCTGGCAATAATATCTGTGGGCTGTAGAACAATTTTTTATTCTTTTTCTTGTCATTTATCATTGATGCTCTCGCTGAACAAAACAGGCCACATTCCCTTGATAGAGCCAGACATTACACAGATGCTTTTGAGCCGTGGCATGATAGTCTGAAGTTTTAAAAAGAAAATTCTGCTTGCATATTGGCAGTTGTGAATGTTCAGGGAAGAGCCAATTGTAGAGCTCTTGATAAGTCAATGGGGGGCCTGGACTTTCAAATAGTGGCATTAGAAACAGAAAAGAATGGAAGTGAAATTGGGAGATGGTTAAGGGGTAAAGTGAGGAGACTTAGCAGTGGCTTGATGAGGGGTGAGGGAGAGAATAGAGTAAGAGTGACTCTGTCTTCTCATTTCCAGGCCTAGGAAGATGGCGCTGCCCTTGGCTGAGGGAGAGAATGGCAGGAGCAGCCAGGGAGGAACGGCAGGAGCCTAGTTTTAAATGGTGTTGAATTTGCAGTGCCTGAGAAGCCTCTAAATTGGGAGGTGAAAGAGGTAAATGAATGTGTGGCTGTGGAACACAGAACGAATGCACTGCATTTGAGAGAGACACATTTAAAGTCCAACATTCTTGGAAAAGGATTGGAGCTATGTGTTGGAGGAGTTTTGAACTCAACACTCAAAGACATGGATAAGGAGGAGTCAGCTGAGAGTGTAAGAAGAACTAGAATGAGAGGAGGAAAAGCAGGAGGTATGTGCTCCAAAGGCTTTAACGGGAGTGTTTCCAGAAAGCAGGTGTAGATCAATAGGGCTAAATTTCATTGACATCCCATGAGTTGAGGGCAGCATAATGACCTTAATTTCATAACATGATAATTTGGGGGGCCTTGTCAACGAGCCACTTTAGTGGAGTAGTAGGACAGGAAACTGGATTTGGGTTGAGAAGTGATTGGATGTAGGAAAATAGAGACTCTGAATGAAGGTACCTCTTGGAAGGTACCTCTTGGAAAGTCCCCTTGGGAGGCGAGGGGAGAAGCAGGGCTGTGACTAGGAATGACAGACCTTCCTGGAGCCACTCTATGGGATGATACTAGTAAGGAAAAAATTAGATGTGTCATAAACTCAGTGTACGCCTCTTAGCTACAAAAAACTCTTCATAAGCATGAGATAGAGTGAACCATATTTGTTACTTAAAACCATCCTCTGCCAAAGCCCACCTCTCCTTTATATAGTATTAATCTAACTTTTATGGCAGCAGAATGGTTGAAAAAGCGAAATAGAATATCCTCTGAAAATATTATGAGTAGTCAATTGATAATTGAATGAAAATTGAAGGGTGGCTTATAAAGAATGGCTTAAAGCTTGGTGCCTCTTTATTTAAGTTTCTTTTTACAAAGCCTGCCGTTTTGTTCTGGCATTTTAATATAGTGATTTACATGAGGAAAATGGATAGTCAAGCACATAAGAATAGTTAACATTTTATAACACTTATCAAATGGCAGGTACTTTCTAAGTGCTGTAGGTGTAATTTAATAATTTAATAATAAAAATAGGAAATTGCTCTAAATATTCATGGAAAAAAATGTGAATCTTATACAAACTCTGAAAAAAGCTAACACTTTTCTACACATTTTATGAGGCCCATATAATCCTCATTTCAAAACCCAACCAGGTGATACAAGAATGGAAAATTACTTACCAAAATTCTTTATGAATATAGATGTAAAATTATGAAAGATATATAAGCCTTTACACTGAAAAAATAATGAGAGGAAGGAGATAAATAAATGAAGGGATTCATGGATTAGAAGATTCAATATATTAAGATGTCAATAGATTGAATGTAAGCCCAATAAAAATTATAAGGCTATTTTTGCAGAAATGAACCAGCTGATTGTAAAATGTGTATGGAATTACAAGAGTTCAAGAATAGCTAAAGCAGTCTTACAGATGATTAACACTAGTAGATATCAAGATGTATTATAAAACTATTGTAACTAAGATAATGTGGTATTAGATAAGGAGTAGAAAAGACTAGAAACAGATTCATAGATAATTGGTAACCTCTGAACTAATTTATGTTAAAAGTAATGTATTTGCAGTTATAGGGGACAGACCTTTTTGGAAAATTATGCTGCGTGATTTTAGTGTCCATGTGGATAAAATGAATTGACCTATTCTTTATACCAGTCACAAAAAATCAATTTGACATAAATTTGCAGATCCAAAAGTGGAAGGCAAAATAAAGATTTCAGAAAATGACATAGGAAAATGTTTTCATGTATCTGTGTTAAACAAAGATTTCTTAGGCTGGAGACAAGATGCTAATCATACCGGGAAAGTATTGATACATTGGAGATCACTAAAAATAATATTTTCTCAAAACAATTAAGAGAGTGGAAGAATAAGCCACAAAATTGGAGAGGATATGTAATCTCTCTATATAACCTCACAAAGTATTCTTATCTGGAATACATAAAATATTTCTACAATGAAAATCCAGTAGAAAAATGGCCTAAAGACTTGAACAGGCATTTTACAAAAGAATCTATCCAAATGGCCAGTAAGTATGTAAAAAAGGTGCTCAGCATCATTAGTCATCAGCCAAATGCAAATCGAATCCACAAAACAACACACATGCACATAGCCTGAATGGCTAAAATGGAAAAGTCACTATCAAGTGTCATCAAAGATATGGGAAAAATAATTCTCATGCACTACTAGTGGGTGAAAACATATATTGGTATGACAACTTTGCAAAACTGGCAGTATCTACTAAAGGCCACCATATGCATATCTTATAAGGCTTTCCAACCTTTCACTCTTAGGTATATAACCAGGAGACAATGTGCGTATGTTCAATAAAAGACCTGCTCAAGCATATTCATAGCAACACTGCTTGTATTATTCCACACTGGGAATAGTGTATATCCATCAGTATCTGAGTTGATCAATAAGTTGTGATTCTGTGATGGATACCATACAGAAATTCAATGAAAAACTAATGTTATATGCAACAACATGGATAAATTTCACAATGTTAAGCACATGGAATAAAACACTAGCACAGAAAAATTCAATGATTTCATTTATGTAAAATTGAAAAAGAGGCAAATGCAGTCTATGGTGTTAGAAGTTGGGGCCAGGGGTCTAGACTGAGATCATGGATGGGCTCCTGGGATGATGTTGTTTTGTTGTTTTGGTCTGGACTGTAGGTAACATGAACTTGTCCACTTTGTGAAATTCATTGGGCAGTAAACTTATGACTTGTGTAATTCTCTGCATGTCTACTACTGGAAAAAAAAAAAAGAACAACTGTGAAGCATG